CAGTTATATGGAAGTGAAGCCACAAGATGCCGCCCAGGGTGGTTGCCCATGTCATTTGCATCAGAAACCGCAGTGAAAACTTGTGTGTAAATGGGTCTTCAATGATTTCAAACATCTCCATTAATCAATCCAAATGCATACTATTTGTAAGTCTTAATAATTGCATTTAGTTGTAACCCACATTGATCTTAAACTTTAAATTCTTACTGTCAAGTCAGAGTAAAACCAGCTTCATGGAATGAAATGACTAAGCTACTGGTAATGCAGTGTTAAAATAAGCCTGACATTTATTTACCAAAGAGCATCTTGATCAGCACAGATCAGGGGAATACTGAAATTCATTCAGAGCAAAACGGGAAAAGAGAAAACTCCTTTCATTTACAGTGTGCTTCCACATTTTCTACTGTGACAGAACAATTTTCACCTTCAGAGTACTCACCAATACCAAGTGTGATGTCTTGATATGTTAATCAGGCAGCCCAATGCTCCCTGCCCAGTAACTCTCTGCATGTTGGTGATAGAATATGTGCATCACTCTGTCTTCCTTTCTTGCTATTTTGAGTCGTATTAATCACACACACCGAAAAGACTTTGTTCACCTTGTCAGACGCCTTGTCATCTATCTTGTCCTTGTGGCCTTGTGTGCTGAGATGGGCTCACACCTTCACTTGACATTGTTTCCTCACAGGAAAAAGTGTGAGCTTCTCATGTCACAATGACTAAAGGATCATTCATTGCTTGTGTATGTGAGTCAGTCTCGCAGAACTATTTGTGGAGCTTCTTTGTAAAAGTGTGCAACGGGATGTCACATCTGTACACCACAAAGGAATAAAAAAAAAAATGCTTACATGCTCAGCTTTGAAAGTTATTAATTTTAACAAGACATTATTTGTTTGTCTTTGTTTAGGAAGATGATAATCAAGATTATGGATTTTTTTTAAAGAGACTATATATGCTGGAAGATTCAAAAGTAGAAACAGTGCAACAAGAGGATTTAGTTGAGTCCCTCTCTTTTGTGGTTCTTCTTAACTCCAATGAGGATCTGGCAAGATTGATTTTTGCACCATCAGGAGGCACCTCTAAAAGATAGCGTGTCCCCGAAAGGGAACAGCATGGATGTGCTGGTGTAAATTAAGCATATTGAAAGCTGTGTCACGCTGGAGTTTGGCAGAATGGCCAGGTGCCGAGTGCATAGTGCCATCTTGTGATTGTACGTTGCAAAATACACTGTGAGCTCTAAAAGCAGAAGCATTTATATTTGTCTGGACTAGAGAATACTGAAGAGTTTTTTTTGTTGTTGTTGTTGTTTGTTTTGTTTTGTTTATTAATGCACTTCAAAGCTAATGCAGATCTCCATCAAATGACTGACCTTCATACACTTTAAACACTAAATGCAAGATAAAAAGTGGTTGTGATAAATAATATAATTAAAACACCTGAAAGATAACACATCATCATCAGTCAGTCTATGATGTCTTTGCATCGTCTACAGAGATCATCATGTAAGTGCTTTAACGACAGTTGCCTTCAGATGGCAGTGTTGTTCTCTACATTATCGCTCTTCACAGGGACGTGCAGAGGATTAAACGGCAAACAGCTGCCTGATGATAATCTGTAACACAACAGGAAGAGTAAAGTGAAACATTAGGACAGAACAAACATCTGAAGTGTCAGTTATATGGAAGTGAAGCCAGCCTGAACGTCTCTGTGTATATGAGAGTTTTCTCACAGCCTGAGAGTGCAACAGATGTAGTGCTATATGTAGAGAGTGCCTATGCCCTCAAACCTACTTTGTGGTTGCAGAAAACAGTGAAATGTATTTTGTAAATCAAATAAATAAATAAATGTGTCAATTCATTTATTTAATATTATTAATTAATGTATTAATGTGGCATAAACTAGTTATGCCCAGTTTATAACTACTTGTACAACAAAATGAGACAGCATTTCTGGAATCTTGTACAGATTTTTATTTTTTAATCATTGAATGATATTAAAGAAAATGCCAAATGTATATTGAAGAAAAGGTACAATCTTTTATTCCCAAATGCAAAAAATATATATATTTTGCACAACTTTACACTACCAGGACATGACAAAAACCAGCAGTAGATTTTTAAAACGTGCCATTGGTAAAACGAAAATGAAAAGATCAATTCTGTTCATGAATGATTTTGCCCAGTTTAATTTGGCTTCTTTTAGCCATTGCTAGATAAAAGGGCACTTCACTCATTCCCAAGGTAAATGATAGAGCTAGGCATTAAAGATAAGAAGGCAATGATATTCTTTTGTGTGAGGCTTAGTGTGTAATCCTAGCAGCAGTTTGGCATTGTAACAGCTTAAAGCAGAAAGTTGTGTAGTGGTTTTCTGACAGTTAAATATGTGGCATGGAGATACATGTGTGGTCTCTTTAATGAGGTTCAAACTGTTGCTCTGAAACTGGCCTGTACAGCGGGGTAGGGGTCACAGCAATGACTCTTTCAGCTAAACCTGCACAATATATTGAATTGCAGTTGTCACTGCAAAATTAATGTGTGCAATATTCCAATTCTTATTGCTTGGATGCAATAGATGGTAGTTTTATATTTCAAGTACAATGCATTTGTGGTCTGAATGCTGATTATCCAGCCAGTTCGTTGCCAGCTAATGATAGAGAAATGTAGGGACATCACAGTGGCAAAAATGAAGGAGAAAATTGAGGAGTGTGGTTTAATCACGACTACAAATATTTAACAGTAACTGTGTGATTTTCTAATATTTTTTCTTCTGCAGAGCCCCTTTCTTTTTCATGCTGCAGCTGGGGTGACATCAATAAATGCAGCTTATCAACACGCTCTCAACCACAGTTATGCACAGTGTCGTTTTCATTCATTCATTTGAAGTATGTACATATAATTATACAATTGTGTGTTTAAAAAAAATCTAAAAAGTTGAAAGTCGCCCAGCAGACTGAGTTACAGCATGCACTCTGCAATGTTTTTAGCAGCACAGACAGCGATTGCAGGCAAAGGCTGAAGACTTAATAATAATAAAAAATAAAATAAAAACATGGAGATTTATTTTCTAAATTGAGTATTTTCAACATATTCTGTGAATAAATGTGCATAAAGCTGCAGTAGGTAAATTTGATATAAAAATGCTGGTTATTTTTACACATACAACTGTCATTATGTTGTGTCAATATAGGCAAATAATCTGGAAAAAAATCAAGTCTTTCTCCCTTTGGTTCTACTGTCATCTCCAGAAATACGCCGCTCTAAGTCAGAAACAATCAATCAGAGCCGTAAGGAGGGTGTTAACGCTGTCAATCATCCTCCTGTATGTGCAAGCTCAAGCTTGCCGGTTTGCTGCAGCCGTGCTAATGGCGGAGAAACAACTTTCAAGAAAACTGTTTATCTGCCATCATTGGCGGCCATGCACATTCATGGCAGGCACTGTTGTGGGGAAGAAGCTTAGCATAACAGAGAGGATAGGGAAGGGTGTAAGCAGCGTGTACACAAGGGTTATTGACAGCGATAAAATCCTTCTCCTGACTCAGATTGGTTGTTTCTGACCAGGAGCTGCGTATTTCTGCAGATGACACTAACACAGTGAGGAATTTTTTCACATATTAACTGTCTCATACTAAACTGTCACAATATAGTGACAATTTTAATATATATATATATATATATATATATATATATATATATATATATATATATATATATATTACTACTGTAGTTTTAGGAGAACTTTAAGGTGACATTTGTGTTTATTATTCTTTTTATTTTGTTTCCCAAAGGTTGCTACAAATCTGAAAATGTTTATTGTTTATAAAGCATCATTCAATATTTTACACATGGGGCCAGAGTGGCCTATCAATAAATTTAAGTATTGAACATGTCCGCAGTTCATTTCAAAAAATTAAACTTACAAATGATTTTGATTCTGTTTTGTCAGTTGAATTATATCTACTTGTGACTTTTTGATTAGAAACTCACATATTATTTAAGTCAAAAAAGAAAATGTAACAATTATTTAGATTCAGTACACACAGAGAGATAAATCTCATATGTCTATGTAACTCTACAGAGGCAGGAACAAACTCTGAAATGATTTAATAGAAATTTTCAGCTTGTCTCTATTGTTAATAACTGGATACATCATTCTATGAACAGTCAACTTTTCAGTCATTTTTGTTGTTTACTCTCATCCTGTCAAGGACGGTTTACTAGACAAGTGTTAAATCAGGGATCTTCCTCATGATTGGGTAGACTATTATATGTCCAGAATATTTCTGTATTAAATATTAGTCATGGCTATTATGTATCACTGCAATAAAAACATCAGCTTTGAGTTTTCATCAGCTGCAAGCCAATGTAATATAAATTAACTGAAATTGAAGCTTAATGTGTTTTTTCAGTGTTTGTGTTGTGCTAAGGTGAGGGATATTGAGATTTCCCCACCTACACCTGACAATCTCTCATCACAAACTCTGATAAGAGTTTGCTTCCACCAAACTTTCTATAAGTATTCATGGATACACTACTGTGTTAACATTCAGATTCTCTACCAATGACTCTTTATAGCTTATTTTCTGTTTGGAAGCAGTCAGTAATTGACTGCTTTACCATGAATAACTAGGCCAACATGGCTACAACAATCCATTGCTACTTTATAAAATCCCTTTCTCATTAGTTTTATGTAACATTTTTATTTTCTGGGGAAAATCTGGAGTTTTCAAATCACCCCTTATTGAAATGGACAGAAATAAAAACTTCAGATATATCAGTCTGTGTGTAATGATTTATTTGAGTTTCACCTTTTGAGCTTAAATACTGAAACAAATTACATTTCCGATCATATTCTAATCCACGGTGATGCACCCGTATTTCCTACTATAATTTGACTATCGGACAGTGCTTGTAACATTCGTTTATGTTAAACGACCTGCACTGTAAACCTGTGACATATTGTCGGGGTTTACGCTCTTCACTGGGCTACTACGAGTTGGAGAGGAGACGCATGCGTACTGGGTAGAAGCACCCGGTCGGAGGAGAGGGGGAAAAAGCCTTATGTTCCATCGGATGTAATCAAAGCAGAGAATTCCCTCTTCTCGTGGTGCATACATGGTGAAATTGTAAGTACTGGGAGTAAGCAGTTGTATCTTTGCAGGTGGGATTTTATGGTCGGTGCGTTTAAGGTCGTTTTTTTTTTTTTTTTTTTTTTTTGTTAACGGCATGTCATTAACAGATCCAGGCAGTGTCTTTTCTGTGGTTGTCCAGGGCGATGAAGCGCTACGGTTCTTCATGATGGCACTTTCAATTGATGTGATGCGCGACTCACCAGTGGAGTGTTTTCATTATTATTATTATTATTATTATTATTATTATTATTATTATTATTATTATTATTATTATTATTATTATTATTATTATTATTATTATTATTTCTGATGTTAAATCAGTAAGGGGACACATAATCCCCTGTGGAGAACAGTGATTTAGTTGGAGTTTTCATGATTTATGCGTTCAGAGGATGCGACCACCCCCGCCCCCTCCGTTCCATTCTCTATATCGCTTTTGAGTCAAACCCTAGCGTACTGCTAGTTACTGCTAGTGCCAGCTTTGAAGTACACCCAATGCCTAATGCGTAAAAATGTACCATTTGGCAAGACGCACGACGTCTGAGGGCTGATGCCTGCTCGGGTAATCTGAGAAAAAAAAAGAAAAAAAGAAAGAAATGAACGACAAACCAAGCAAATGATAGTAATTTTTTTTTTAAAAAGAAAAAAAAACCGCGGGTCCATTTTAGAAATGGGTAAATGGTGTATTCATTGAAAAGGATGCGATAGAACGATGCTGAGATATAGATTTGCAAGCTGCGCTTTCAGCACCCCCACCCCCACTCGCCTCCCTTACACCAAAATCTTTAGACATATTTTAAGGCTTCGTGTCTTCCGCCAGGTAGTGTCCGGACGATGCCGTGTGTCGGAAGAGTCCGCTTTGTTACATAAATGATCTGACAGGATTTGGCAGAGTCTGACCCGGTGATGACACGTTTGTTAGAATCAGCTCACATTCCTGTCTGTCTATAGGCCTGCAAACCGATGGGATTCTTGTGCATAGGCCAGATATCCACACTCACAATTAGAACAGCAATTCCTCGTATAGCCTGCTTGATAACAGAAGCCTACATGGCCAGAGCCAGCCCAAGGCATAAGCGAAGTAAGAGGGTGCCCATGCCAGCAGGGGGCTCCCATGAGGAGAGATTTGAGACTCAGATAAATTCTCTGCAAAAATGGCACAACACACACACACACACACACACACACACACACACACACACACACACACACACACACACACACCACTCTACATCAATCATTATGTGATTTATAAACTTGTATTTGATGCCATAAGATCACGAGTCATGTGATCTTATAAATCAAAGTTGAGAGTTTGATCTGAAACTCTCAACTTTGATTTATCCTCTGAAGACTTTAGGCTCAACTTAAAATCAGGGTTTGGAACTCGAGTCTCATGAGCAATCTTTATCTCAGCTAATCATAGGTGAACACAAGCCTGTAAATGAAGGTGATTTTGGTAAATGATTAATGTTGTCCCCTCTGAGTTACCATAGTGTATACAAATGGCTGGTTCCCATGGTAACATTACACAGTATATCATGGGTGTCATTCTCAACAATGTTTTCCAGGCAAACGCAAAAATTGAAAAAAAAAAAAAAAAAAAAAGAAAGGGGGGGTGAGTTGACAACAGCTTCCATGCTATTCTTATTTTTAAATGTTACCATTTATGAATCATAAACAGAGCAGAGAACCAGTTAGAGATTTCTAGATGCATTATGCCAGGGCTAAGAAAAAGATTTAAAGAAGAAAATAACAAAAGTCATTTCCCCCTTCTGACAACATCAGTAGAATCAAACTGTCTTTCCTCAGAGTGTCCAGCAGTGCATGCCAGCACATGATTGAGTCAAATAATATCTGGTCTGCTGCATTTAGCTGGAAAGTCTCAGATTTGGACATTATATGTTTGATTTTAACCGTTGTTAAGGGAAGTTCTAACAGTAAGGTGTCGTCATCACGAAACTCTTCCCATTCCCACAGATTTCACTCTTCATAAACAATTAGAAGGGTGTTTATGAAGAGTGTCTCTTTCTACTTTAGTTTTCCTTTCAACGGGTTGCCAAAAAAATGGATTGACACTACCATCTTCTCTACTGTCACATTGCAGCATTACACCCAGTGCTGCCCTTGCTACACTTGTTACACTGGAACTGATTTCCATCACACTAATGCATTGCAGGCCAAGAGCTTTTCTTGCGAGATAAAATCTCAGTTACATACTATTCCTGACATCAACACTCCAAACCCTTCACCCTCTCTCTCTCTCTCTCCCCCCCCCACTCTCCGCTGTCTGTAGCCCATGGGATCAGAGCGGATGGAGATGCGAAAGAGGCAGATGTCGGTGCAGCAGGAGTCGGCAGCGGGGGGAACTGCACCGGCCCAGCAGGACCAGCCGAGCCAGGCCAACCCGCGGGGCTCCAACGCGTGTTGCTTCTGCTGGTGCTGCTGCTGTAGCTGCTCCTGGTAGGTCTTCCACAAACCGAGAACCCGATTGCTGAGGTGCAGCATGGCCGACATCGTCGCACGCAAGACGCCCGCCGCTTGAGCTCGAGTGTCTCAAAAGCAGGCGTCAGCTTCTGTCTTACACTCTTGACAGATTTGCATGTGATCCGTGGATGTCGCTTCAGCAGCAGCCGCCTCATTACATTCAGGAAAGCCTGAACATCATTTTCATATGCATGTCTGTGTAAGCGCTTCGCTTGTCGGCAACGCTGCATTCAAAGTGATGCATTTGAATCAGTCAAAATTAGAAGGAATATAAATGATTAACTAATGCTCATATTTTATTCAATTTCTCGAACTACTTTTACAATTTTAACATTTAGACCTACAGTAAAAAACAAAGCTGTACTAGTTTCTCATTTGTTAAACACCTAATTGCATTAACAAGACGTCAGTCCTGATGAAAGTAATAATTTATTACAATCTTATGAATGGCTACTTATCTGATACTCACGATAACAAGATATCAATTTTGAGCATACAACATTTGACATAATTATGAATATATGCCGCTTAATGACAAAAATAATTTTGTAATGCTATTTTGTTGGTGAAAAAAGCCAACTGTTGGCAGGATTGTTACTGATTTTGGCCATTTAATTGTGCATTCGGACTGCTCGTTTTGGGTGTTGGATGCTTATTCAGCCCCAAAGTTATAACTTATTGCCGATTTTCTGAAATACCCATATGGTCGAAATGATCTATACAGTTTCAAGTACTTAAATCCTCGCAAATTATTTGTGAAATGCCTTTCTGCATCGTGGTGACTAGATGTTAGACCACTTATCTTAGAAATAACACGGTTCATTTTTATTGGCTGGTTTTCTGGCTCAAACCCAGCTTCTAAGCATAGTTCATACATTTTTAATATGTCTGAGGTCAGGCCCATTCCAGAAGCTTAATGTCAGCCCGTTTTATATGTCTTAGTTTTAATGGGTATTCAAACACTCATGTAAATTGATTGTTCAAACACCCAATTGTTTTCAAGTTTCAAGTACTCCCTCAAAAGTCAGGATCAACAACAGAAGCCACCAAAACTTGGGTCTATTATAAACCAGAAGCTGATAGTAGTTTCACTGTCCACAGTGAACAGAACTTTAAATGAAATGAGAGGATAACAGAAAAAAGAAAATAGCTGAGCCAACTTAATTGAGTTGCTTCAGTTGGTAACAAGTAATTCAGTTAAGTTTATCCAAATTAATTTATTAAGCTTGTTTAACTTGACAAATTTAAGTCAGTCTTACTCAAATCATTTAGTTTACTTCAAATAAAGACGTACACTAATAAAGGATCTTCTGGGTTCAGGCTGCCTTCATTTGATAGTAGTTCGACAAGAAAGTGGGTTATGAAAGAGGGGAAAGACACGTGGCAAAGTCGTCAGGCCAGGAATTGAACCTGCAACCCTTACGTGGGTTGTGCACTACCTCTGCTCCTCCACAGCACCATGGTTGGTACAGGATCTGTCCCTGGGGAAGCTTGTGTTATGACATCAGATGTAGGATACGAACGTGGCATTGAACTTAATTGTTTCCAAGTAAAGTCAAAGTAAAAAGTTCCTTTAAGTTAAAATGTGTAACTTTTAAGTCAATTCAACACGAAAAAGTGTTGAGAACTTTCCGGCAAGTTCTCATCACTAAAGCAAAAGAATTAAGTGAGATTAATGTAAATAAGTCCATTACACGAACTACAGCCCAAATACACTTTTTTTTTTACAGTGGTGTTGACCAAGAAGGAAGCATCTGCTTTGAAACAGTTTCATTTGAACTTGAACTAAAAATGCAGCTTCTCGCATGGAGAAGCCAGAACCTTTATACTGTAGATGTTACCGTAGTGATTAATGAATACACTGACTTAAATAATTGTGGTCATTCGTACCACGTAATTACAAAGTTAGATCCATGACCACATTTGTGAAATGAGTGCGTCTTGCCAAGGTGTTTCTCTCTGTTCTCAACAGGAATGAAGACAGGGATGAACGGAATCGAAAGGCATCATATGACGTCAAGGAAGGGACCTCAGACTGTGAAGACTGGTGAGCTAAAATCCCTACACAACAATGCCTGACAAATAACACAGACTTCTACTCCATCTGACGTTAAAGAGACTTGCTCCAATGTTCTCATGTTCTGTGCAGCCCAAACCCCACGCTGGAGGAGGTGCGCACGTGGGGGCAGTCGTTTGATAAGCTGATGTGCTGTCCAGCTGGGAGGAACTCTTTCCGGCAATTTCTCCGCACCGAGTTCAGCGAGGAGAACATGCTGTTCTGGCTCGCATGTGAGGAGTTCAGCAAAGAGACCAATAAAAGTGTGATCGAGGAGAAGGCCCGGCTCATCTACGAGGACTACATCTCCATTCTCTCGCCGAAAGAGGTGTGGAACCTTTATTGATTTATATTTTGGGAAAATAGAGTTTCCTTGATGGGTGAAACCTTGTGATGTCTGAGTTCAATGAGTATGTCGATGCCACTTTCATGTTCTTGTGATGAAGCCTCACACACTTAGCTGTGCACAAAGTTTAGCTCTACACAGGGGGTAATAAAGTCCATCATGTCTGTATTCAAGAGTGTGTTTCATTGAACTCTTACTTTTACTTTAATTCAACAGATGATCTAAAGTTTTTGTCAGACCTACAGTAGCTAAACATGCCGTACTAAAAATGCCAACTTCTAAAAATAGGAATGAGAGGTAAATGTGATGGGCCATTTTATATGATACGTAGGTGGAACCATTTAGCTCTCATAGGCAACTTATGAACAAATGAACATAAGTTTAGATATAGTTTTTGGGTTTTGAGAAGCAGAGTTATGTAGATATGTGTGTATATGGAGTTTAAACTCCAGCTGTGCCAGACTGACAGATTACATGGTAAAAAAAAAAATCATATTGTCTTTGCATCATCAATGCATTCACACAGCAAGAAAATGCAACACAAATCAGATTTTTTTTTTGTTTTTTTTGCCCGTATGCTATGCGACCCATCCAAATATCAAGCTGAACGTGGCACTTCTGATCTTTTCACCCTGCAAAAAATCTGATTTGTGTCAAAGTTGGAATTGAGTATCAAGACCTGTTGTGTGAACGTATAGCCTAGAGACAACATGTTTACTGCACATGTGCTCCACTGCTGCACTATTTCTCCAAGTTCTGCACAAATACAAGGACCAGTTATTAGAAGGAAATAATCTCATGCAACCCAAGGACCCTACGTTTTCAAGTCTTGATAAGAAAGCTAAAAATCCAATTTTTCACATCCCTGTTGCAGAAACAGAAAACCTTCTGTCCTTCCTGATTGTTGTGTTTTCTTAACTTCCAGGTGAGTCTTGACTCTCGAGTGCGTGAGGCGATTAACAGGAACATGCCGGAGCCCAACTTGCACACGTTTGACGATGCCCAGTTGCAGATCTACACGCTAATGCAAAGAGACTCGTATCCCCGCTACTTGAACTCCCTAGCGTACAAAAACCTGCTCAAACCTCTGTCAGAGCAGTCCCCCGAATCTTAGGGTGGCAACGACAACCTGTGATCTTTTAATCCTCTTTGCCCTTTCTTAGTCCTTCAATCCCCCCCACAACCCACCCGACCCAAACCCCGAGTTTATGAAAAAAAAAAAAAGTTTTCTTCTTTGTATGTTCAGTGTAGGATTACATGAGCCAGGCCTCGGGCCCCCGGCCCCGGCCCCTCCCAGGGATCTCAGCGATATTGTGATCTGCACCTGACCGAAGACAACTCAGGTCTGAAAAACCTCCCGAGGGCTCGACATCACATGTACTGCTACAGATCAACATAGCAAAACACTCCAAAGGAATATGAATAACACTTTAATCCTGTTTCTTTTTCCTTCTTTTTTTTTTTTGATAGAAATATTCTATTTTATTTGTGTTCAAAGTTTTTTATGGTCCGTTTTTTTTTTTGTATGATTGTTTTTGAGGAAAATGATTCCTATTGTAGACTATCTATACATATATACATATATATTTATGAGTTTGTAAATAGTTCAAATGAAATTGTGGGTATTTTATGTGGAAACGCCTGGTTCTATTTACTGCGTATGAAAATCAAAGCTCAAGTCAAAGCTGCACATTAGCTTGACTTGCTGGCAGCTTTGTGGGGTACTGTTTAATTTTTTTTTTATTCTTATTTATTTCACTTCGTTTTGTTACCTAACCTCACACTTCAGTATCTGTGGCAGCGACTTGGCAACTCCAGTTCATGCACAACCTGTGTGTGGTTTAAAAGAAATGTGTGTATGGTTACCAGAGAAGTAACAGGGTGCAATAAATGAAAGTCAGTAATGGTGAAGAGTGTTTTAACCTTTATCAATTGCCAGCATAAGACAATGTTGTTGTTTTTCTAATGCTAGTGGGACTCTTTGCACAAATCATAGGTTTATCAGAGATTTATTGGTGTGTGATTCTAAGCTGAGTAGATTTTTACCAGAGAAAGTATTTTATTTAATATTGCGACATGTCAAGAAAAATTCAAATTATATTTAATTATTTTGATGGAGTAAATAACACAAAAAAATCAAGACATTTTATTCAAGCTATTTTATGGGTCTGTAATTTTTCAACAACTTTCCAAGGTTTTCCTGATAGTAGCTATATTCTTTCCGTTAATAAAAGATAATTTGTTTTAGTTATGCAAGTTGTGCTCCAGTTCTGCCCAGCATTGTTACCCTGATGCCCATTCCTCTAAACATCTTTCACCAGAATATTTCATATCAGGGAGCCATGCAGTATTATGCTCATACTTTATTGATCAACACCTAACCGCACCACAGTGATGTAGCTGTCAAAATGGTATTATGATGCATTCACACACCATTAAAACTCTTAAGTTCATCTTCAGTCAGTTTACTCCCTGTTTCTGTTTACCACCACAGAACTCACTTAAGTTTGATGCGCAGAATAAGTCCATTTTCTGCCTCACCCATAAACAGCCAAACATCCATTAGACATTTTTTTTTTTTTAAAGTTTGTTGTTTTGTTTTGTCCAGAGGAAGAACCAGTAATCTGTGGACAGACATGTAGAGTGACAACTTCAAAACTGGTGCCATTTCAGATGCACTGTCATCATTTATACAAACCCATTGCAGTGTGAGGTCATGAGTGCCAACGTCGACACTCACATGTGAGTCCATGTGATTTTGAGATTCCTAAATATAAAAAGTTAAAGTTGTTTTTCAGATTTCATTTGATGTGTTAACCGATGAGATGCACCAGGTGCCCTCCGAATGCGCATTGCTCTTGAGTTATGCTAGCAAGGTACATCCACGGTTTGGGAAATTTGTTTGGGAACTTCTGTTCACAAACAAGAGATTCCTCTAGCGAGCTTCAGTATAACATCTAAACATGTCCTGAACACAGTCGGTTTATGCTGTTTATTAACTGGTTAAGTGAAACCAATTACATCATTTTCATTAGCAATAACTAAACTTTAACGTTTGTCCAAAGAACATGCTGGAAAGTCATGAGAAATTGCAGACCTACGGATACAACATCACATATGAGATTTATCATAAAAAAAATCATATATTTAAAAATGGATAAGAAATATTATGGTCCGAGGATCTTGTCAGGTTAGCAGAAACACCAAAGCTATGATGTAAGATGTGTTCACGTGTTTAAAGAGAGTGTTGAGTAAAATTGGAGAACCTGGTCCGGGAAAAATTGGAGTTGCCAAGTGTTTAACTAGTTTTATTTAAATTACTTTGTTGCCTCACATTGTGTCACTCGAAGACAAGATCCTCTCATGGGGAAGTGCCTTGACATTCAGTTTTCTGACATCTTTCTCATGGGCAACAGTTGTTCGCTGACTCGCTCCGAAAGGTCGTTCACTGGAGCACGACTCCAGTTTTACCGGAAATTGTCCCTCTCACTGGCCAAAATATCTCACGTGTTTGGTCTCGATTCCTCAATTGTGAGCACGTCGGTGGAAGGTGGTAGGAGAAGCAGCGCTGGAGACAGAGATCGCTGTGACCGGGCGTGAGGAGTCGGAGCTTCTCGCCAACCTGTGTGCTTCATGGTGGCTCTTGTCTTAGAGTTAACTCAGACTCACTACATATGATGTGCAATTTGAGCTGATGGGTTAAACTGCGCAGATCCAACCTCAAAACACAATCTAAGCCAATGGTTTGGCGTGATGCCTATAAATGATGTTTCTTCTGTTTACTACTATATGAAATGTGTTATTTTGCGCAGAGTTTACTTATGAAGACATTTTTTCAAAAAAAAAAAAAAAAAAAATAATGTAAATGTTTACAGTATGCTTTAGGGTTTTATTTTTGTTTGTTTGTTTGTTTTTCTGCTACTCTCCAAGAAAAAAAAAACTGACTTGTGGGCATTTCGATTGAGATAAAATAAAGCACAATAATTTTACTCATTCTTGAGTGATTTCATCAATGAATCTTGAGTTAAATAATAATTGTGAAACTTATTATGTTCATTCCTAATAGCAGTTTTCAGCCTAGAGATTGCAAGGCTAAGATTGCAACAGATGTTTTTTTTTTTCTTTTCTTTTCTTATTCTTCATAAGCAGCACAATATTTCTACATTATTCTGTTTTCATAAAATAATAATTATTATTTAGCCCCTAATCAAAATGTATGCACAGCACATATTTAATGGTCTGCACAAAGGCCTTCAGAGACTTCTTGTATTAAATTTGAATTATTTTGGATTATGTCCACAAAAATACCAAAACATTTCCGACTTCAATTCTCCTGCATCATATCACACACAGTTACACGTCACATACAGATTTCAATGTCACTCATCACCTCATAATTTTAACTTTCTCTAGATGCATTACTGTACGTGTAATAACTGTGGAATACACTGTACGTGTAATAACGTGTAATAACGTAGTTATTACTGTACGTGTAAGAACTTCTTTGTTATTACACGTACACATTTGTAGAATATGGAACAAATCGCGTACCGTTTCGGTTCAATAAGGAACGCTACATTTAACAGTCAAATACGGGACGGGTTGCAACCCTAGTGGAAATAACTGTCACATATGAGACTTCTTGTGCATCAACACCACTGCCTTTGAATCAGACCTGGCCTATGTGCTGCAGTCCAGATCTCAGTATCACATCAATGCAGACGAGTCATTTGTCATTTACAATAAGTCTCTGAATAAATTTTGTTTTTGTTTTTTAAGATCAAAATAAGTCATAAATTCAGACAAGTTTTCAGTTTTCACTCCAGAATAATAAACTTTTAAAAATCTAATCAACATTTACTAATATGTCATATTTCAAATGAGCCCTGCACTTGTTGATATGACTCTTACTTGCTCATTTTTCTGTTATTTTATTTAAAAATTCTGTAAATATTGACCTGCCATGGTGAGATATTTTTTTTATGTTTCAAATGTAATTTGCACACAAGAGTACAATTACTTCTGTTTAACCGTTAGAAAAAAAGTTAGTGTTAAAAAAGTGAAGTTAAGTGAATATTCAATTGCATATGATATGCATGTTTCAAATGAACCAAAAGACATGCTTAAGATCGCTGAAATTAAAATAAAAAAGCAAATGTAAAACACAGAATGGCTTGCTGAAATGTGTTTAAATATATTGTGGTTCTATGTAAAGAACGTCTGCCAAGGTCGGCCCCCCTACATTTTTAACACACCGAATCTGGCCCCCTTTGCAAAACGTTTGAACACCCCTGATCTATAGGCTGTAGGACAGTAGCTTTCAAAAACTAAAATCGGACACATCTGGTTTAAATCACAACAATAGCCTTATTAAAGTTCGATCAAAAATCAATGTAAGATTGTTGTTTGACAAAAATTTCAGTCTGTAATGTCCACGTCACAGTTATGTACTCAGGTTTCTCTAATCTTAAAAAGTTCAAAAGGGAAAAGTACAAGGCGCATAAACACTTCTAAAATATGTGCTATGTGTAACTCTAACCATAAATGCTCTTTATTGTAACATATTACTGGTCTGGGTTCAGCATGGCCTGCAGAAAGGCAGCAAAGCAGCTCATCAGCACAGAGTGTTTGCACCTGGCAATTACAAAAGCTCCATGAAAGGGGGAACAATTGTGTTTTTCCTGATCCAAACAATGACATTATCCTGTCTCTAGACAGATTAATAATATGCATACATCTGCATTCACTTTGAAGTGATGAATATTCTACCAATTACAAAAATGTACTCCCACACACTCGTACAGGATAGTGCGTCCGCTCAGATACTCACAGGCATTATAGCGATAGTAAAGGTTCGCTAAAGGTTCGTAGACTGTGGAGCATAATGAAAGACGAGTAATTAAAATAACTTCTTTTTAATCAAATGGATTACACTTTATTGGGGAATTAAATAAAACAATACAATGCTGTGCCGGGAAAGCAAAAAAAAAAAAAAAACCCAAAAAAAAAAAAACAATATTATCCAAAGTGTTAAAACTACATATAAAAACGCAGATAAAAGAGAATGACACAAGATTCATGGCATATATCTGACAGCGAGAAACAACTAATAACAACAGTAAGAGATTTGGAGAGAGGGGCCTTAGGGGACGTGACAATAAGCTCAATCTATGACCATGATATTTACTCAAACGGTAACCGTAGTGGCATCTTGGATGTTGAGTACAACGCAACCACAGAATACAAAGCTCCGCTCTGCTGCAGGCAGACAGAACCTGGTCCGGGAATTTTGCTACTTGTCGGGAGTGCCGTGGATGACGCCAGCGGATTCAGCAAAACTGGAAGAGGACAAGAAGATCCGTTGAGAAACATCACCGATTTTACCAACAACTGCTGTTAACAGCAGCAACTTGCTTTAATGTGCTTTAAGGAAGTCACTTGGAAATGCAAGATTTTGGAAATACAATCAAGTCATTTTAATAAATTTACAAAAAGTTAAACTTTGGTTATTCTCCAGGTTGTTAGTTGTAAGGTTCTGTGGTGTGTTTGCAGTCTTTTGTGATTCTTTAGTTTGTCCTTGCTGTGGCCTGTCCACCTTATTTGTTATATAGAACATGACATGGTCTTTCAGATACTATTAAGTTGTTTTTTGTGGTTTTTTTTTTTTTTTAAGTTGACCTTATGAGTTTTACATGATACTTTCTATACATTTGAACCTTTCACAGTGGGTCTTAATAGCTCTGGCTACAAATGGCAAAGAACTAGCTTATGTTTTTAAAATGTACTGTGTAGATATAATAAACAAGTGTTTCATGGAATAGTTGCATTAAATTTCCACAACAGAATGACACTAAAAACACCAGTAATATTTTTCTTTCTATTTTTCTTGTCTTTAGGTTGAACAGTGGGATTTTTTATTTTTTTAGGCAGAATTTAAAACGGCTATTTCTTCAAATTTTGACGATTATGTTTTAAGACAATGAAAACCAAAATGTTGTATCTCAGAAAACTAGAGAGAAAATCATAGCATAGACATAAAAAGTTGTGTGGAAGGAAGAAGTGTGGTAGGAGAAGGTGCACCAACAACGGGGATAACTGCAGCCTTTGAGTGGACCGTCCAGTAAAATCCATGCAAGAATTTGGAGGAGCTTCACGAGTACCAAGAAAGGGAGCAAAAGCTAGTTCAATGACCACAGTGTTACTCTGCTTGATTGACCAGCAAAACTTGCCTGATCAGAACCACTGGGGGGATTTTTTAAGAGGAAGATGACAGAATGGCAAGTTATCTTCAAACAATGAAGATGACCCGAAGGCCGCTGTCAAAGCAACAGCAGAGCCACAGGCTGATCACCTCCATGTGACGCTGCATTGATGCAGTAATTCATGCAACAGGAAACCCAACAAGGTTTTAGGTACAAAGAAATAAATATGTACGCATGATATTTCTCCTTTTTTTATTAAGCTTATGCACTGAATTCCAGTTTTCACTACGTGTAAGTTGTAAGAACTATGATATGCAAGTTTCACTTTCTAAAATAAATGACAAAAAATATAAAACTTTTTCATGATATTCACATTTTTTTAGATTACCTGTCGGAACAGAAAACAACACAAGATGTAAATCAAGCCCAATTATTTTGTGTGGACCGATCATTGAAGATCCCTTACCCTACTGGAGAAATCCCCATGTTGTTCTGAGGTGAAAGTGTCTAAACTAACCGTGAGATTTCTTTCAGAATGACAAGAACGAATGAATGCAGAGCAAAAAACAAAACTGCACGAGCTCAAA